AAGCGATGTCTTGCTTGGCTACGTCTTCTTCCTTCAGCTCAAGTCTGATGCACTCCAGTGTTTCAAAGACTTCGTTGCATATATTGCCACACGCAATTCACCGACCAATGCGTTGTCTACGTTCTGACAATGGAGGGGGATATGTCTCTGCTGCCTTCTCTTTATTCCTCATAAAAAATGGGAGTGTGTGGTACAGTCTTCTTATCCGTCATTACAAGACTGTCCCACACACTCCACAGCAGAACGGCGTTAACGAACGGATGAACCGCACTCTCGTTGAATGCACTCGAGCGATGCTTCATTACAGCAATGCGCCACCTGGATTTGGGCCGAAGCAATCTCACATGCTATGTACCTGCGTAATCGCTCGTTCTCCTTATCGACACCTGATACTACGCCCTTCGAGGGCTTGCATAAGTCCCGTCCTAACTAGTCAACTTTGCGCATTTTTGGTTGCGAAGCCTTTGCCCACGTCGAGCAACATGAGCGTTCGAAGTTTTCGTCGAAGACCACCCGCACGATGTATCTGGGTCATGAACCTGACGTTAAGGGATATCACCTGTACTGTCAGAATCCCGAAAAAGTCATCTTAAGCCGGAACGTTGTGTTCAATGAAGCCACGTGTTTCTTCCCTGCTACTCCTTCTCCCTATCCTTTGGAGCATGCCGACGGTAACTACTTCGACAATAAGCCTCCTCAACGTGACTCTTTTTTGCAACTTGATCCTCTTCCTCGTCGCTCCGGTCGCATTCGCCGTCCCTATTCACGCTACACGGACTCTGATTCTGCTAACTCTCCCATCGTTGCCCCGCCCACACCCGATTTACCAAGCACTGCTTCCCCCGCAGCAAAATTACAGCCGCCATCTCCGATTCCACCAACTGTCGACTCTACCGTACCCCCTGCTCCGCCTTTCGCGCCCTACGTTACTGATCGACGCCCAGTAACTCCATCTGAAGCCGTTGCTTCGCCTGCTTCGCCTCACCGTCAAGTCGCCGACGATACCTCCGCCGACATGGACACATCCTTTGACTAGATGACTCATCAAAATTTGTCCATGTCTACCTCAGAGACTCTGCTGACATGGATACGTCACCTGTCTTGGATACCTCTATTCGCCGTCGCCTTCGTGAAGTTTCTATTACCGACGACACTGCCGATGAAGACTCTCACAATTGCCAAGCGTCAACGCATACTCGTCGCCTTTGCCCTTCAATCAACTGGTCTACCAACTACGCTCCGTCAAGCTCATACTTCGTCTGAACGCGATGAATGGATCAAAGCCACCGATGCCGAGTATGACTCGCTGATGCAACACGGTACATGGACGCTTTGTGAACTCCCCACCGGTCGAAAGCCCATTGGATGCCGTTGGCTCTTCTCCAAGAAATACGCTGC